GGGGACCTCTGCCAGGTCCCAAACCCTGCCTGCTCCCCCAGACCCGCGCAGGGGTGCCTCTCCCATGGGCCCTAACCCCCCTGCGCCCCAGGCCCCCCCCCCCCCCCCATGGCTGCCTTGCCTGCCCCAGCTCTGGCCTTTTAAGAAAAACAAACAAACAAAAAAACACTCTGTATTCCCCAGCTGCTGCAGTGGCCTTGGGGTTTGGGGGGGTTCGTGCGAGCCCCCCCATACAGCATGGGTCAGTGGGGGGGCAGCAGGGATCCCCTCCAGCCAGGCAGGAGCCAGTGAGTTTGGGGGGTTTTTGGTTGGTTTGTTGTTTTTTTTTACGGGTCAGGGGCTGGGCCAGGTGGGGCAGCCATAGAGGGGCTGGGACAGCGGGTGAGGGTTGGTGGGGCTCATGGCAGAGCCCCCTCATGTGGTGTGGGGCAGCGGGCAGCAGCAGGGATCGCCTCCTGCCAGGCAGCACCCAGTGAGTGCAAGCTTTTTTTCCCCAAAGATTCGGGAGCTGGGCCAGGCGGGACAGTCATTGAGAGCAGGTAGGGGATGGGGCCTGTGTAATTCAGAGATTCAGCTGATTCGGCAGCAGCTGAATCTCTGAACCAGTTCGGGCTGAATCGATTCGGGACAGTGATTCAAATCACCAAATCGAATCACTGTCCCGCAATTCAACTGAATCCAAAGCAAATACTAGCCGCTTCACACAGGACTAACAAAGAGTTGCTTTTTTGGTCTGAATTCAGAATTAAATGAAATGTCAAGACTTTTCCCTGCACAATTTTAAAAAAATGATAGTATTATATTTATCTGATATTGTATAATGCAAGAGATGCCAAATAAAGGGAAAATTTTGATGGAACTATCTGCATAAAACTTGCGCCACATTCTCAAAACTCTAGAGAGAACAATATTATATTGCTAATTTATTTGAATATTGATAAAAAAAGACAGTCTTTCTCCCTGCATGCAGTGGGAGAAAGAAATCTTGCAAACAAATAATGTAAAAGGCAGCATTTCAGCCTGCAAGGGGTTGCGGGGGGAGCAGGAGGAGGGTGATTGGTTGCCATGTGCATGCATATACATGCATGTGACAGTTAGGTGGCATGAGAGAAGCTCCCTGTAGGTAAGTCTACAGGGAGTGGGGATTGAACCCCCCATAGAGAGGGGGGGAGGGACTTGGGAAGGGCTGGGGGTGCTGCCTTGCCAGGGTGGCACCTAAGGCCTGTGGCCTAGGGCCCTGCCTGGAAAGTATGACTGCAGGGCCTGAGCAAGTAATGGGATGGAGCCGCAGGTGGCTTGTCCAGGAGGGGGTAGGGGGACTGGCCCCCTGCCACTGTGCACTTTCCCGGGCAAGGCATGGGGGTGGGACATCCCCTTCAGATTTTACATGGGGCAAATGTGGGCCAGAGACCTGGGTCTGCAGCCCCCTTCCCCCACCCGCCAGCAGCAACCAAGCCCTGGCTGCTGCCCACAGGAGGCTGAAGCTCCTGTGGCCTGGGTGGAGCACAAAGCCCAACTCCCCCTCACCCATGGGCCACATGGCTGGAGTGGAGCCTGTGGGTGGGGGCAGATGCAGGTGCCCACTGTGGGCTCATTGCTTCCTGCCCTGCTGCTCTCTCCCCAGGAGGGCTTCTGAAGTGCAGTGGGTGGGACCTTGCACAGCAGGGCAGAGATAGCTTGGTGTCACCACTGTGAGCCCCACACTGCCATGGCAAAGCACCCTGTGCCTGTTCAGCAGCAGTGGGAGTGGCAGCATGGAGTTATGCCCCCCCTGCTGCTCCCAGGTAGGTAGGGAGCACCTCGCCACAGCAGCAGCAGGCTCCCAGCAGCAGCACTGAGCCTCTCTTCCCTGGTCTGCCATGCTGGGTCTTGCCCAGTAAATCACAGAAGCCCCCAAGAGGAGGGCAGCAGGGTGGAGAGTCCCAAGCCCGCCACAGGCAGCCTGCATCTGCCCTCCCTCCCCAGGCTCTGCAGCAGCCACCACCTCCCATGGGAGTCAATGACTCTGCTGCCAACAGTATGGTAGTGGCTGGGCTGGAAGTGCAGCTGCTGCTATTTTTGCACCTTTGGCTCCCCTCCCTCCGGGCTGGTGCCTAGATGTAGTGCACTGGGCAGTCCTTCTCTTTGTGTATAGAAAGCTACTGTTCTCCATATACAAATTGAAATATGTACAGATGACAAAAACTAAAGCACTCCTGAGGAAATGTAGTAGTAACCTTGAAAAAATGAGTTTATACCAGTGATATGCATAATTTAGAACGTTTAAATGCTGGCAAAAGCAAGAATCCAAAATTTCTGCCCCTACCTCTACCAGAAACACTTAAATGAAAGAATTGTCACAGATTTTGAATGACTGTTTGAAGGTTATAAAGGCATAAAGACTGGGAGAAGTATTAATAGGACTTGGATTATAAAAATAATCTAGGAAGCAGCTAAGTAACTGGCACTATGGCCTTGATTTCAGCAGGGAGCAAGGCTAGGATGTCTGCACGGATGCCTGCATGGATAGTTGAGAAATGGTGACATCATAAATATTTATGGATGGATTAGTGCATTACAAACTTATGGACAGTTAAGATCTAAAAGTATTTATGTTATCATAATGTGATTTTTCTCCATAAAATATGAATAAAATAGATGAACATCTGACACACAACGTATGGCTTAAGACAATTAATTCAAAATATATCAAACACTTTCAAATTCTCAAAGAAAACAAATGAATAGATAGAGTATTTTTTCCCCTATGTTTTTTTTTTTTCTTTACAGTAACCTTAGTTATGCTGTAAAACAGTAGCAGGTAAATATCCCAGTTCTGAATTATACTTTTTTTTAAAGCAGCATCCCTTTTAAAGTAAGGGTTCCATTTCTGAGATACTGAACCACTTCCTTTGCTAGCACCTTTCTTTCCTGAAAGATACTTGGCATTTCCAACCTACTGTAATCCCCTCAAAAATAGATGCTTCTTTAAAAAATGGCTTACATTTAATCCTCTATGGAACTGTATTGTTTAGTTCAAGAAACTTATTTTCCTCAGAACATCTATACAGATCTATTCAAAATTAGTGCAAATAAATGACAGAAGCTGGCTGGGTGGACTGTATTAAAATCACTGTTCAGTCAAGCATTCATTTCTGACTTGGATTATAATAATGCTTCAATCCAGCATTTTAGTATTTGAAAGAGGGCAATTTTTCAGTTCATAGACTTTTTCTGTACAGATGGCATCATCATTACAGGCAACAGTGTGATTGTTTCACAAGTTAGATAAATATTTTACCGAAGGATCTCTTTACAAAGAATTATTACAAAAATTATAGAAATAATAGCAACAGATATCTTTATAATATCTTATGTGCTTCAGCTATTAAAAAGCTTGGGAAATGCATACAAAACAATGCACACAAATATTTTGAAAGCTATTTTATTATTTAATGAGAATGTGGTGATTTCCTTCCACCTGGAATTGTTGTGATCCTCCATTTTCTCAGTCCCTAGGATCCAGAATGAGAGCAACAGAAACAAATGTACCTTCTAATTAAAATGGAAGCTAAAGCAGAAAAAGGAAATAATCATCATAGAAATTAGTCGTCATGTTGACCGCACTCAAGGAGGATACACATTTTACATGTGGAAAGGGAGTCTAGCTATTATTATATAGGAGGATCTGTACCACAGTGTTGCTGTGTCAACTACAGATTATTTCATAATTACATGTGAGAGAACACAAATGATAAAATATGACAAAGATAATTGCATCATTGCTTTATGAATTACTGTTATTATTTATAAAACTATAGGCTGCAGTGGTACTTTACAGGGGAAAAAGCGTCCTGAGTAGCTCTGTTCTGTCATCCCAATGCAGTATCATCAGACCTTAGCCATTTTGCAATTCATCCTATTTTACTGTAGTCTTAGAAGTTTGTGACAATAGCTGTAAAATTCCTTGCATTTTTCTTCCAAGACCTTACCTATAAAGATGTGTATATGTGAACAGAAATGAAACAGCAAAAGCACAGACATGTTGATAAGCAAAGTATCTTAGACTTTTTCTGTGGCCAAACAACTGCCCAATAGTTATCTTCAAGCATGGAATATATGTACTAGAATCTTGAACCACAACCAGCGTTGCCCTGTCTGTGTGATGCTGAGGGTGAGATAATTGGCACTGCTGATTAATTAATTTATGGTGCTCGTGAATTACAGCAACTGTGCTGCTTCTAGTCTTGATAGTAATGTGTGAAAGCCCATGTGGCTACTTCAGGGCTGCAAAACCATCACAATCCATGGACATAGATCCTGTCAGAAAATCTGACACAACTTATCCAGGGCACTGAATGTCCTGATGCAAATTATGTATATGAAATTAAACAACCATAGTTCTCCAAGAACTCTCAGAAAAAATGATTTTTTTCCCTTCTTTCAACCTTATTTAAACTTTATTTACTCAAATATGAGATGAGATCCCTCCTCTGCCTCCCCCGCCCCCAATCAGCATGAGGATGGACTAAATTTATAGGTACCCATAGTAATTTACGTATATGCAAATTACTACAGATATGTTTATTTCAAAGTCAGCGTTTTTGGTCCCTGGCATTTCGAATTTGTTCCTCATTTCCATATGCTCAGGGAGGGAAGAGAGCCCAAACAGGGTCTGACAGTAAATGGTGGGAGAAGGGGCTGCAGGGGGAAGAAGATGGTTAGACAAATGGCAAGGGGACCACCTGATCCCCCCAGTTAGCCACTGTTTTCCTTGCTGTAGCAGAGGGAGGGGGACAAATTCAAGGCAAACCTCTGATAATTAGATTCTATACCTGAAAAATTATAACAATTTCTAAATTTTCTATACATAGAATCAAATTATTGAGGGGTTATCTTCAATTTGAGTAAGTACAGCATTTGGACTTTTTGTGGCAATGTAATTCTACCATGTCTATACTGTTTAATGCTGTCTGTGCTGAAATTGGACATCTAAAATGTGTTCTTTTCCTTTTATTTAGATTGTAATAATGGAAGTGCAGGGTTTAAAGTCAGTAGCTCCCAATCGGATTGTTTACTGCACAATGGAAGTGGAAGGAGGAGAGAAACTTCAGACTGATCAGGCAGAAGCTTCAAGGCCACAGTAAGCTCTTCTCACACTTTTTGTTTTTAAAATTTATTTTTTATTGCGTGGAATCTCTACCTGAACATTTGAGTAGGGCGTGTAAAAAGAATGATATATTATAGCATTTAGCTAGTTTGATATTGGATTACAATAATGTTTTAAAGTTGAAAAAAAACCACTTGAACTTTTTCGCTGACCCAGATGGAAATGTAACATATTCAACAGTACCTAATGATGATAATATAAGAAAACAAGACATCTAGAAATTGTAGAAAAGGAATAGTTGCAATCAGGCAATGTCAGCCAAGGTACTTTTAAATTGCGTGCAAACAAGACAATTGGAGATTGTAGTATCACACACTTTTCTTTGTCCTTTAAAAGTGGAAACCTTTTGTTACCAATTAGCCTGAGGTGCTTGTATGCACTCTGGGTTAATATGAAGGTGGCCTACTGGAGTTCAGCTTGCACAACCAGTGGAAAATCAATTCTCAGTAATCAGTCCTGATGAAACTTACTCACCTGCTGAGCCTATTCTATTTTAAATTATAGGATTCTCTTTTTCCAATTAATTTTTGAAGTATGTAGTCAGTAAGCTGACTGAGGAAAAAGTATCATGCCATCTGTAGTTGAACTAGTCACACTAGCACAGAGAGAGAAAATTAAGTGTGCTTTTGGTTGATTCCTTTGACCTGTAGCTGCACATCGTCTTCAGAGGCTTTTTCCTCTGTTAAAATGTCATTTGGAATCTTTGTGTAGGTCTCTCTCCAGATAAATCGTTATGGTTTTACTGGCACCTCAGCATCTCTTTTGAAAAAAACAATTTAGAAATCAAGGTAACTACAATTTTAAAAACATCTTAGAACTGTGAAGTTGGTTTCAGATCAGTTTTAAACACACATATAACATTCCATTAGGCAAAAGTATAAGCAGGTGGGTCACTTTTTCTGTAAAAATGCCATAAGCCAGTATACTTTCTTCTATTATTTTTCAGATTTTGCCACAGAGTCTGAGATCTTTGGCTTGTGTAGTACAACATTTTTCCTCTGTCAGTGGTCAGTACAAGATGACATACTGCAAATGGAAGGCCAAACCACTACTCCTTCACAATACTGCATCATAACAAATTTACAGTTGTGTATATGGATATGGCAAGATCTAAAACATGCTCAGCTCAGTCTCGGTTATGTTCCGTTAACTGGAAAGCATACCATGCTGTTTTATTTAGGCCACACATCAGGTCCATGTACTTTCAGATCTCATTTTGTCTGAGCAGACTTCAGTCATCATCTCTTTCAAACCATTTTTCTGGCATGCTCCCTGGGCATGGATACTCTGTCTAGTAACCCTTCTGGAAGTGGTACCCTGTGGTCCAGCTCAAGTGTCAACCTCTCCCTCACTAAGACACCTCAGTATCTTAAGGTTATCATTTCTTTCAGCTATGTTCTAGTTAGCATTCCAAATCATCATTTATCCCATCAAGGACAAGTCATAATTAAAGCACATAGACTTGCTAAACAATTTCTGAAAACAGTGATAACAGGGAAGGTATGCAAGTTTAGACAAAATGGCTAACAGTTACACAACAGTCAGTTCAGGGCTTCCTTCTAACACAGTGTCCCTTGCAGACAGTGACCTTTGCCTTTGGCTGTGACAGCAGTCAGACAGGTTCCCCTTCCATGCCAAAATCTTTGCTTCTCTTGGAATTTGTGTGTTTTTAAAGATGTGACTTCTTGCTTCCTTTTCTGGGGAACAGGAATTTTTCCAAACCCCTTTCCCAGAAGATCGTCTGAAATAGTGGATTCCTTCAATTCAGTGACCCTTAAGATAGCCAGGCTGTTCTAAATAAGAGGGCATATGAACAGTACACATGCCAAGAACTGTGCAAAGGAGAAGAGTTGAGCGATCATAAGAAAAGATGAGATTACAGAGGTGTATATGTTGCCAAATCTCTAGGCTTCTGTAAATCTTAGGACCAGCAGATGTTTGATAAGTAGAAGTACCACTAAAAGCTGATGTCATTTTTGTGATTTTACAATGCTAACATATACATGTTGAGCCTGGATAAAAAATGGCATTAAGAAAAATCTCAAGAAACCTTAACTTCCAGCTTTGTAGTACAGTTGATCAACCTGTCCTTTTATACCAGATGTAAGCAAACTACAGCCCTCCTTAGAGCTAAAGCCTTGCCTCTGAAGAATGTATTTTTCTGCACTGGCATGTTGTTACTGTTGACAAAAGAGAAATCCAGCAAAACAGCATGGAGGAAACAGAAATACATTGAAAAACAAACAGATAGCTTAGAATCATAGCTAGGCCAGACACTTTTCCTCACTAGTAGATGTTTATTTAACTGAAGCACTGACCTGTCAAAGTTAAAAGAGAGTATCAAATCATTTTATGTGCTTGACATTAAAACTAGGGAAGATTTTAAACATGCAAGGTATGTCTGTGTGATGGAAGGCAGTGCTTTTCAGAGATTCCCCATTCAAGATTTGTGCGTGCTTGCTCTCAAACCAGAAGTGGGGTAAGCTACATTACTGTGGAGCTGCATCCAGGCCAATATACTCTGCTGAACTATCACTTAAAGATGTAATACAGGAGATATGCAGTGTGCTGCTTTCTGCAGATAGCAGAATGGAACTGTGAGGGAATGTGGAAAAAAATAAGATGAGCTGAATTGGAGGTCAGTACATAACTCTAAGATAATGAGGTTTCCAAATCACCTGCTTGTCAGAGGGGCATTCATTGAGCATCATCACTGTTTGGTATGGCTAATTCAGAGATACAGGGAGAAAAAAGTACAAAGACTTAATTTTAGTATTCAGAATTTGAAACCCAGTACTAGTGGTCTATCTGTGGCTCCAAGGATTTTGAATTCAGATTGATTAAATGTTTAGAATGGTATCTGAAAATAAAAATCTAAATTGAGGTCACTTAAGTGTGGAGAGTCAATCAGAATTTTACTTGAATAAAACCTGAACAAGGACTTCAGAATATGTCCATTAGGCCAAAATTTGGAAAATGTTGCTTGTGAAACGAATGAAAAGATTTTTTTTTTCTTTTAAACATGCATTTCAGTTTTCTAAAGAATTATTAAAGACTATCATGAGATCAGTAAAGAAATTAGGAAGGATGTTCTTTCAAAGAGAAAAATAAAATAAATTATAGTCTAACAAATAAGAAAATAATTAGTTTTAGGGCTAATGTTTTAGGTTAGCCTATATTATATGGGTTAAAAGTTGATGTAGTTTCTCATTGCCTCCAACTGAATTTTTTTGTGAACTTTACATGCTGTTGAATGTTTTATATAAACAGGTTTTCCTCTTTTAAAAAACATAGGTAAAGTTCCACAGTGTATGTAGACTAATGCAGTAATGCATTAATCAGGAAAGGTATTTAGGACAGATTCTCAATTCCAGCCTATTATAGGCATATGATTCTGTGGCTTACTAAGGCCTACTTTTCATTCAGTTGTATAAATTGATTACAGTTGTACTGCTTCATCTCATGCCAGCCCTATTAAAGTTTTATTACTGCCTGTGAAATATTTCTTCCAACTGTTTCCTGCCTGTTAGTCCTTCAAAAAAGCCCACCAGCATGGCCAATGACCTTTTCTGCCAGAGATCTGTAAGCAGAACCTTTAGAAGAACTCCTTCAGCAATATCAAGCTAAGCAAAGCTTTGTTGCTTTGACACCCTAGGGGGCCTCCTCTCAAAATAAAGGATATCTGATGCTCATTTCAGTTTCTTCAACTGTTACTGATGTTGCTTCTCAATTTGATGGTATCCTCTACAGAAAAGACCACATTCTCTTTAATATAGTTGTTTAATATAGAAGTAGATGTTCAGCTTTTAGGGATGTTTTAACTATTAAGCATATATTCTACAAAATATGTTTGCTTACCTATTTTACATTTAATAGCATTGTGTTAAATCAGTGCTTCTCAATCAGGGTGTCATGGTGGCGGCATCCAGGTGAAATTACAAAGTGCATTCCCCTACATTACAACTCTCCAATCAGCCTAAAGCAGGCAGCAAAGTTTCCTTGTGTTTTGTAGACCTTCCTGATCCAGGGACCCCCATGCTCTTCCTGGAAACAGGCACTGGTGGAACTGTCCTATCCACTTTTATTTCTTGGAGCACCGTAGCATAAGGGGGACCAGAAGGCTGTACAGCATGAGGCAGCTCCTACCTGCTTTAGGCTGATTAAAGTCCTAATACAGGAGGGGTATGTATGCATGGCACAGCTTTTCCTGAACTGGCTGTGCAGCAGGCACAGATGGCTTCACCTAAAGGCAGCATAATCTGGCTGAGAGCCCCTGAGGTAAACTGAGGTGGTACCAATAGTTCTCAGCCAGGAGTGTCACCATGTTCAGAAAAGTGATGGTTGGGTTCCCTGACCTTGAAAAGTTTGAGAACTGCTGTGTTAGGTGTTCCTTTATGAAGTTAAAGAAGAATATTATCATATGGCTGGTACGGATGACAAGCTGGGCAACCCAAATATTATTATTAATCGTGTATATTAAGTTACATTGTCCTGTCAAAAGGGCTAAAAAAATTAAAGAAAAAAGTTCGAAAGGACCAAGATGTTTTGTATGCATTACTCTACCATCTTTAGCAATTCAAATGACTTAACCTTGGTATTTCTTAACTTGATGTGCTTAATCATGAAAAAGTAACAATTTAATATGATTCTTCGAGTGACATATCTTGTGTATACATCCCACACATTATCCAACTTTTGAGTTCTAATCCTGCTTCCCAAGGTTTCCTAAGCCCTATATTTTTATAGGCCCTGGGCCAGATTTGGCCTGTAACAACATGTCACCCAGCCCATGGTCTCATAATTTGATGATGGGGAAGTTAATTGCAGCTCCCCTGCTGCCAAATTTCCATAATTGTGGGGAGCCCTGTGGGCTGGATGACATGGCCCTGCCTGCTAAATCACACCAGGAGGCTGTAGGGCCAGCATGTAGGGTCACCTTGTGGCTGCATCCACTGTGTGGTGTTTGGCCAGCATGTCCACATGCTGAGCCCAAGCTGAGTCGCACCTGCAGACCAACCCTGTGCGTGGGATCCAGCCTGTGGGGCCAAAAGTTTAGCACCACTGCACCAGACTCAACTAACTTATGGCATGTGTGCTGGGAAATATGCAAGCCTAACCTGCATTGTAATTTACCAGTTACATTTCTTTATAATTTATTTAGCTGCAAAACTTCTACTTAACTAGTAATATTTCAATAATGTTTTAGTAACTGAATTATTATTTTATATTGATTCTATTTCAGTAGTGCCTAGAAATCTAATTGACCAGACATTTGCTGCCAGTAGACCCAGTGCAAACACAATTTTTTTTTTTAAATTGTCTCTACTCCCAAAGAGTTCACAATCTTAGAAGAAAAGAAACAAGAGATAGATACAGACAGATGGGAAAGTACAGAAAAACAAGGGGAATGGTATTGATCAGCATGATAAACAGTGTACCTAACTCAGGGGCAGACAAAATACAGCCCATGGGCAGGATCCAGCTCGCCAAGCCATTCTATCTATTCTGTTGTCCAGAAGACAATTATTACCAGGCCATCATTGCCTCTGAAAGCTGGCAGGAGGCTTGGGCTTTCAGAGCCCATGCCCATCAAGCTGGGCTGGGCTGGCTCTGTGCCTCCACCTTCATGGGGCTCCTGGCACTCCAGCTGGGAGTCCCATATGGAGGCACAGAGCCAGCCTGGCCCAATGACATGCGCCTTCCTGTGGCTTCCAGCACGTCAGCTGGGAGACATAGGGTTCCATGCGCAATCAAGGCAGGCCAGCTCCTTGCTACCATGTATAGCTCCCAGCACTCCATCTGCAAGCCATTTGCCATTGGGCCAGGCCCGGGTGGCTTCATGCCAGTACGTGGGGCTCCCAGCACTGAAGCCAAGAGCTGTGGGAGCTGAGCACACTTGGGCTGGGCCAGGCTGGCTCCATGCTAGCATCTGGGGCTTCTGGCATTGCCAGTGGGAGCCACTGGGCAGGGCCAGGCCAGCTCTGTGCCTCCACATACAACTCCCCACTGGACTGCTGGGAGCCCCACATGGAGTCACAGAGCCAGCCTGGCCCAATGGCATGCGACTCCTGGCACTCCAGCAGGGAGCTGCATGCCATTGGGCTGAGCCAGCTCCATGCTGCCATGGGGGGCTCCCAGCACTCCAGTTGGGAGCTGCAAGAGATGCATGTCGTCCAGCTGAGCTAGGCTGAGCTGGCTTCATGCCACCATATGCGGCTTCTGGCACTCCAGCTGCAAGCTGCACGCCATTGGGTCAGGCCAGGTACATTCGGCTCCTGGAACTCAGCCAGAGCCATGCACCACCAGGGGGCTCTGCCTGCCATGGGCCATAAGTACACCAAGGGCCTGCAGCCAGAAGCTGCTGCCACTGGCAGCAGGGGCTGTGGTATGGGGGGGTGGGGCATGTGGTCAGGGGCCCATATATGAACACCCCACCATACCAATATCCACACCCCTACATCCCCCCACACTCCCCCTCACACTCCCAACTCACAACCTCACACCAACTTCCCCAACCACACTCCCCCACACACCCACACTACACTATGTACAAGAGTAAGACTTTATTTCAAGCTATTATACATTCAGCTCTATATATGCTATGCAAACACACACAAATCAGGACAAAATATTTTTTGAAATAAAATTAAAATATGTTATAGTAAATGTTTGATTTTTAGTATATGATTTGGGGGGGTTTCAGTTGCAAGGTGGCGAACTGCCCTCCCAAAAGGAGTACTTCTGGGTGCAAGGGGAAAGACTTTCAGTACCAAAGGTCAGCTGTAAGTTCCTGGCCCAAGATGGTGACCAGGGGATGGAGCCTGTCAAGTGGCAAGGCGATCCTTGTGGCCCTCTACAGCTTATCAAAAGTCCTTAAATTGCCCTCCAGCTGAAATAATTGCCCACCTCTGCCCTAACTCATCCATTGCCTTGCCAGTATCAAGGTTTTTGTAGGCTCATGGCAAAAGAAAATGTTAAGGAGGGATTTGAAGGAGGTTTTTTTTTTTGGTGTAGTTGTACAAGATGCACCTCAAATTATGGTAATCTCTTCCTTGATTTTGGTTCTTGCACATTTTGCTTCTGTGCCTTCAGAGGACAAAGATTCTTGAGAATTTTATATTCTGAAAAGTTTCTCCTAGCTGTGATATATTTTCAACTCTTGATATGATTGTTAGCTTTGAAAGTCACATAATGATTTAAGTGCGGTAAAATCTACACAGTCACCTACTGCTTTGAATTATGTCAAAGTGGTGTCTTTCAGTCTACTAAGGTTCAGGTTTTTTAATCCATTTCTTAAACATAATGCATAAAACATACCTCTGCTTCAGTAATTGTACTCAATTGGCACAGCGTCTGAAAGACTCATAGAGTTAATGCTTTCATTAAGATTATTTTAAGGATTAAAGTTTCAGAAAGGTGTGTCTGTGTAGCACAGCTAAAGTTGGAAATTAGGGCTCTAACTAGTACAGTTTCTGTCTCAGTAACTTTGCATTCTTTGAGGTGGGCTCTGGATATTTATTTTTGCGTGCTACTTTTTTCCTCCAAAAATTGTACTGCTGGTGATGTTTGAGACCACTAATAAAATAAAATTTATATTATGAACACTGCGTCTCAGCAGAAGATTTTAGGGTTGGAAGTAATCTCAAAGATCATCTAGCCTATTTACTTGAATGTTAGACTAGGTCTGCCCCCGCCCCTCCCCTATCCCCCCAATCAGGATCGGGGAAAAAGGCTCCTTGTTTTACATATGCATACAAAGAAACCTCATTAAATGCATTGTCTATCATTAAACTGCTGCCAAAAGTAGCATGTGCTCAGTAATGGAGCCCAACTATGAAGTTGATTAAATGCAGCCAACCCTGAGTTGTTCTATAAAACACATAGGCAAACATAAATGGAAACCTACCACAACAATAGGTTAGTGCAACCCATCTGAATAAGATGTATGGTAGTGTCCATTGCACTCAGTTCTCCACAACACTGACTCTTTTTCAAGTCACAGTGAGGCACTACACTGAATACATTTTGACTTCCTCTTCATTTCCACAACTGAGCTGCACCTTTCTTTCCTATTTTTAATGGTTCCTGGTTCTTCACCATCCTTAATCTGATTTGTACACATGCTTGCGCCACAGCACTGGGTGCTTTTTAAAGGTGACTGGTGCTGCAGCACATGCGTTTGTATAAACAGCAAAATGCATGTCAGCACTGAGAAAATGGCAACATCAAAGGTGTTTCAGTTCAAAAGCGCACTGCTGCCATTTTCTCAGCGCTGACGCACACTTTGCCATTTATATAAATGCATGCGACACAGAGCCAGGTGCATCAGCTCACATGCAGAGCAGACTCGATTAATCACGCTGGATCTCTGGCGTGTCAGAGCAGACAAATGTATATGTATAAGTGCCCTAAATGACTGGCAAATGTAACCAAATGTGGCCACAAACAGTTCACACAGAATCCCTCTGTTGCCCCCCCCCGCCTGTTGCATATGATTAGTGTGGCCCTGCCCTTCATAAGGTCGAACTGGACCAGGTTATGCTGCATCTCATCTGCATATACATTTTTGGAGGATCCCAGGACTTTTATGATAAGAACACCCTGTTCCAGCCCTGAATGGGAGGCTAATTAGCATATTAATCCTGTGTGAGGTGTATCTGAAGTGCACACACATACTGAGTGGTGCTGAGCTGTGTGAGTACCGTGGCTTGAAATGCTATTGCAGCCTCTGCTGGGTCCCAGACCAGTG